CCACTAAACACAGGTTTTACAATATTCCAAGATGCATTTGCGTAGATTAATGGTTTGGTTATAATATAAATATTACTTTTTTGGCAACAAAATGGGTTAAAAATAGACAAAATAAAAAATATCTTCTTTCAAGAATTATCAAGTAATTTCATTATCTCTGATTATCCAATAGTAGTTGTAATATGTAAATTCCGTAAACACTAATCAGGAAAAATAAACACAATTTGAAGGATTATTCTGTATTTTAAACATAAATTAAAAATTCTATTAAAAATACAAATGTGTTAGGTTAAAGTATTTGTAAGGATAATATTGTGTACATTCAGAACGTGAACACTATAAGTATAATGACTATAGAAGGGGGGAACGGGTATTTTCGGGACGCGGGATTGGCCATTTTAATTACCTGGGAACTGGGAAATGTCAGATCAATTTTCCGTGATTTGGGAACAGAAGTCCATCGGGACGTGGGAAAGACCCTCTAAAATTGTCTGGGATCTGGGAAAATTGTGTCAATTCGTCGGGATTTCAATTTCTGCTCTAATATTTATTTAAGTTATTAATTTATTTGTATTTGTATTAATTATGCCCAGATAAATAATAGTATGTAAATATTAGTATTTATGTAGTGTTTGAAAACCTAAACTACTGAATTTCCTGAAACATGTCTACATAATTTCCTGGGAACTGGGAATTGGGATTATATTTTACTGGGAACTGGAATAGGGGTTGTTTTTTTGCTGGGAAAGTGGGAATGTACCCCCCCCCCCGTTCCCCCTCATAGAAATATTAATTCTAATACTAGTACTACTGTACTAGGTAGTATATTATACTACTACCAAGTAGTACTAGTAGTAGTACTGGTAGTAGTAGTAGTAGTAGTAGTAGTAGTAGTAGTAGTAGTAGTAGTAGTAGCATTAGTAGTAGTAGTAGTAGTAGTAGTAGTAGTACTAGTAGTAGTACTGGTAGTAGTAGTTGTAGTAGTAGTAGTAGTAGTAGCAGGGCGTCAAGTTCCTATTTTTTCCTATTTTTTTCTATTTTCTGGGCAATTCCTATTTTCTGAACAAATTCCTATTTTTCCCCATTTTTGAGGGCTTTTCATTTTTCTGAATCCAGAATTGTATGTATCCTTCTCAGAATGCAGGAATTTACATTTTAGGTGACCCAATTTTCACAAATTTCCTGGGGGAGGACCCCCAGACCCCCACCTCTTACTTTAAATTAACGTAATATACTCTTTATTATCACAGATTTTATTTCAATAAAGTTGTTTCTCAGTTGGATGTGGTATGTTATACATGTACGCCATAAATTTGTAAACATAAAATTAAAGTCTCCTGAAAGTCATGCGAAGATTCATGAAAACAAGTTCTTTGAAAGACACGTATGGAAACGAACTGGACACAATTGCATGTCAAGACGTCAAGGTGCAGCTTGCTGATAGTCAACTCAACATTGGTGATGAAACCCGATTGGCACTAGAGCAGTTGAAACCAGACAAGCAGAAGTATGCTATTCTTGGCATCCGATCATTCTATGGCGCTACAGTGTCACATATGCAAACACGCGATTGCCTCTGGGCAACAGATCTCGGTTGCCTCAATCCCCTTAAAAGGGAACGAAAAACAACAGTTGCATCGATTCAGAATCTGTCTCGCAAGCTCCAACCACAACTGGATGTATCCTCTGTTCAGGATGAGTGGAAACTCTACCAAGCAGACGTGGATGTATCTTACCAAAACCAAGATGTGGAGCAATATTGGAATGATGTGTTTCAGCTCAAATCAGTTGAGGGGAACAGTCGCTACAATGACCTACAGCTGGTGGTCAAATCAGGTCTTGTCTTGGCCCAGACAAATGCTGAATCAGAGATGAGTTTGTCGGTGAATGCACCTGTTGTCACTAAGGACAGAGCAGCACTCGGTGAAACCGCAATTGTTGGTATTCGTACAGTAAAGGAGGCTGTGCGATTTCATGATCCTGTTCACTGCAAACCAGAAAATATCCCTATCACCAAGGAATTGAAGTTGTCAGTTCGGGCCGCACATGCAGCATATCGTGCAAGACTGCAGGATATAGCACTGGAGCTAGAAAGGAAACAAGAAGAAGCTGGAAGGAAGAGAGAAGAAGCGGATCTAAGAGAAAAGGACAAAGAAAAACTTCTGGAAACTAAGGAGTCACTGCATGGCTAAGAGAGAGGAAAATCTGGCACAGAAGGAAACGGCAGCAAGAGCTGATTTGGAAGCTGCTGATGAGCTGCTAAATGATGCAACAACGAAACTCCATGATGCTCTCACTGGTGCAACTGTTAAGAAGCAAAGCGTTAATGTTGCCAGCCACCATGATGCTGGATACTGCTAAAGCCAAACGAGAAAAAGCCATGAAACGCCTGGATGAAGTAAGGTACAAGAAACGGAACTTGGACAACCGGACACATAGACTGCTGGAAAAAGCTATTCCAGGAAAGCAACCTGCAACAAAAAATAAGTCAAATAGCAAGACTGAGGCCACGCCAACCCTGCTAAGAAGTCTAAAACAGCATGCACCAGAACTATTATGCCTGAAACTGTAGGTGTTCCTGGACTGACTTCTTTAAGAAAAATGCTATATAGAGCTCCGAAGTGATGACGTCACGGTGGCATGACAACCAACCCACTGGTTCTAAACAATCATATGCTCTGGTAACATTAACTGCGTGAAAATGGTGTCGTGTTTTGTACCCGATTGTATTTTGTATCCATCATTCTGAGTCATTATTGCAGTTTTTATAGATTTCCAAACGATGGAAGTGAAAAGCAACGAAAAAAATAATAATAATAATTTAAAAAAAAAATTAATAATTCAATATTGTAAGATCGACTTGCTACCGATGCTTTACCGCTGTCTGCAGCGCACACACTCGTGTTTTAGGTACGCACAACATTTTCATGCAGTTAATGCAATGGAGCCAGTGGGTTGTTTAGAACCAGTGGGTTCGTTGTCATGCCACCGTGACGTCACACTTCGGTACTCTATTGATTTTCTTATGTAATTGATGGATGAAGACATACAAATACGAAGACATCATTGCAGTACATGGTGATTTGCCAGAGTATATTATAAATTCAACTTCATTTTAATAATAGAGGGTGAATTATTTATATATTAATGCCTGTTGTTGGGGGGCACTATGCTCTCATAGTATTGCTGAGGGAAGGTATAGTGCCCGAGCGGTAGCGAGGGCACTATTCCTTCCCAAAGCAACACTATGACAGCATAGTGCCCCCAACAACAGGCATTAATGTTTTTAGTGCATCACATGGCTATGCAATCTACTTTTCATGCTTATATACCTTCTTTATACTCCCTAATTTGCCGGTGCATTCGATGTAACAAAACGCTCGACACAAACACAATCGCCATTAATTCGAAACTCTTGCGTGGCGCCCAGACGCAGGAGATTCGTGACGTGAACACAATGCGTTATAATAACAATGCGTCGCGCAAGCAATAGTGTCCGCTCAGGCGGGCACTATTGCTTCATAGTGCCTGCGACGTTATCCAATAGAATTTCAACGATTTATCACGTGATGCACTAAATGTTAATAGTTCATGGCGTTTTTATGTTGGCTGGGACAGCCGAAATAATTTCTTTGTAAAACTTGAAAAATCTCATATTACACATGGTGTGTCAATAGTTTTGTTATATCATTCAATACATGAAGTTTGACACACTAATAATCTTTTCTGATACGTTTGCTTTGCGCAAGTTCTGAGGAATGTCGTATCATTGTGCATGTCCAGTCATTTATTTTGAAATCGCTACCATTTTGGAGTAGTCTTTTACATGTTTGGGTGCTTATGCATGTAGAAACTGCAGATAAATTTTAACTTGCATTTCACTTTAGAACCTTAAAAAATTGACTATGTGATGCACATTCAAATATATTTTAATTCGAAATAAACAAAAAACAACAACTAGCTGCGGTGGATCGGGATGGCTATAGGGGTGTTGGGAGGCCATCTAATGAACACATATTCCTATTTAACATATTTGTGCTTTATAGCAAAAATTTATTGCACAATTTCTGAATAATCTTATATCATGTGCATGTCTAGTCTTTATTTTTAATCATTATTACTACTATTTTGGAGTAGTCTACATGTATGGGTGCTTATGCATGTATAAACTGCTTATCAATTTTAACATTCATTTCTCCTCAAACATTCATTCATTCATTCATTCATTCAGACAGACATTCATTCAAAATATTGTTCGCATGTGATGTAACTCCAAATATATGTATATTAATAAAACCATTTGTGGTGGATCGGGATGGCTGTAGGGGTGTTGGAAGGCCATCTAACGCAAAAAATATTCCTATTTAATATATATTTTCTCACCAAAATTCCTATTTTTCTCCTATTTTTTCACATCTGAAATTCCTATTTTCCTATTTTTTGAGCGTCACTTGTCACTAGTAGTACTACTAGGTAATACTATGTAATAGTATAGTATTACTAGTATTCATTTAATTTAATTACTATGTAATACAGAGTAAGTGCTAATAGAAAGCCTAAGTGCGCGACGTCGCGCGGTTCATCCACGCGTAGCAACCGTTTGTGTAGAACCAGTCGAGCGGTCGTCAGGGCCTCAGGGGGAATGTACAATGACGTCACGGCTTCGGAGCTCTTATACTGGACATACTGGGGCCGTTTCAATAATAAAACGATGGTTAATAAGCCTACAACTTGTCAGTACTAGACCTGGCAGTATTCATAGTTTGATTTGACCTAATAACTTCACTTCAATACCGTCCAATACACCGTTGCAACACACATTCCTATAGCGCGCACGCCATTGTGCACAAATACACAGTAGGATACAGGCTACAGCACTCAATCCTACTGTGTATTTGTGCACAATGGCGTGCGCGCTATAGGAATGTGTGTTGCAGCGGTGTATTGGACGGTATTGAAGTGAAGTTATTAGGTCAAATCAAACTATGAATACTGCCAGGTCTAGTACTGACAAGTTGTAGGCATATTAACCATCATTTTATTATTGAAACTGCCCCAGTGCCTGTGGTATGGACGCCCGCTACTGTTGTTCAACACCGCGCATGGTAAGGAGAGCCGTTCTGCCAAAGCAATAGAATAATTGAGTTTTATGTTAATGAAAATCAGTTATGCAAGTCCTCTAGCATGGTTTTTAGACACATGCATGTTCACATGACATTTAAACATGTATTTTATGTAAACATGTATGATATCCGACCGTGATATCCATATGTGTACATGTTATTTACGCTCATAGGGTCTATGTCCCTCAGGGTACTGCCGGAACGTACCCTGGTCACTATTTGATATGGTTAGGGTTAGGATTAGGGTTAGGGTTAGGGTTAGCGTAGGCGACTCCCTACAGACTCGTTAGTGGAGTAGGCGAGGTATGGTACGGCATATTAGATGGTACCAGCTAGGGTACGTTCCGGTATACCGGACCGTACCCAGGGTACGTCTAGGCAGTACCCCGGGGGACATAGACCCTCTCAGCGTTATTTACGCTGAGTGGGTCTATCATGTCCCTCAGGGTACTGCCGGAACGTACCCTGGTACTAAATACTATACTATCTAATATGCCGGACCGTACCTCGCCTACTCCATTAACGAGTCTAGGGAGTCGCCTACGCCTACTCCCTAACCCTAATCCTAACCCTAACCATATCAGCTAGATAGTTACCAGGGTACGTTCCGGTATACCAGACCATACCCAGGGTACGTTCCAGCAGTACCCTGGGGGACATAGACTCTATGAGCGTTATTTACACATCTACATTAAAATACACTTATTTTACACACATTTGGTGCCTGAAAATAGATATTTATTCTCGTTTCACTCTTTTGTGGCACTCCTAACACTAACAGTATCAAAATATCTTAAATTTGTTGGTTGCAATTCACCCTAACCCTCGTTCTAACACTGCGCTTAACCGCATGGAGAGAACATTAATTTGCATTGATTTCTGTGTTTTGGGGGCTCATTTCAGAGAGTGATATTTCAGCTCCTGGAGTCATGCCACATTTGAAATTCCGTAGCCATATAAGAGAAAGGCTCTAAATCATTCATCTAAAATTTCAAGTCGAACCGTATCTGCGCTTCGCATTAAGGAGGCATACAACAGTAAGCCTCCGCAAATTGTTCACTGTCGCACTATTTCGTTTCTAGAAAAGGCCTTTTTTGGCATTTTTTTTGCCAAAATTCGGCACTAGAGTGCAATAATTTGCATTGTGCACGCAAGTTAGATGCCTCGTGGACGTCTAGAAAGCATTAGAAGTAAAATTGGGCTTGTTGTGTATTTGTGACATTCCGTCAGGTGGCGTAGCCACTGCGATCGGTTGGTAATTTTTGTGTTTGAAATGTGTTCAGACAACTTTGCAGAAATTTGCATCATACTCATAGAGCTGGCAAAAGTTTTGAGTATGAGCATGTAGAGCATGAATCTGTAGTTATTTAACATGAATAAAGTGTATCTTGTGTAAGCGCAGTAATAGTTTGAGTATTTTTAATTAATTTCTGTTCGATGCTTATTCAGACCTGCCGCCTATGGACGCCCTCTACTGTTGTTCAACACCTAGAGCGCGTCAGCTTCCCGGGGGAATCCACGTATGGTGATGATGCGCCGAGCACTAGCAACGCACAGCCATTACAGACCAGCACTGCAGTCCTGCTTGGTAGTGAAGTCAGGCTCACTGTTTAAAGTCCTGCTTATTTATGAAGTCAGGCTCACTGTTTAAAGTCCTGCTTATTTATGAAGTCAGGCTCACTGGTGAAGTGTTGAGTCCCGGATTCAGTGATTCTGTGTTTAAACCCGGATTTAATGTTCAAGTCGGACATCGCCAACGTTGTCACTTCCGCGGCCAATCCCGACGTGCTGTCGCTGAACGGTACGAGCCCACACAAGATGCCGGAGTTTGGTGACAATGTGACGGCGTGGCGACAACTGTCACCCGACTTTGTCACATTCTGGGACCGCTTCGAACACGCGTCCATCGCTGTCCCCGTTCTATCCATCTCGATATCGACGGTCGCCATCGCCTTCAACCTGCCCGTCGTCCTCGCCATCTGCAGCATCCGTCGCAGCACCTCCATCCTCGTGCTCGTCGGCAGCCTGGCGACGGCAGACCTGCTCGCCAGCTCCCTCTGGCTGATAACCGTCTGCTTTGTGCAGGTGAGAACAAGCGTGGGCGTCCTTGACGACGCCAAAATTGTCTTGAGGCATCTGTCGAGGATGACAAGCTTCTGGCTGTTGTCCGTATCCGCTACGAGTGTGTGCGTGGTAGCTATCGACCGCTACATGGCCGTGCTGAAGCCGATCCGACACCGGTGGTACATGACGCCGACCAAAATGCGGGGCATCGTCGCCACGCAGTGGACAATAAGTCTGTGCGTCAGCGGCGTGTTCCTCCTGCTGTCCTTCGCGCGACCGCCTCGCTACAACGTTGTCGTCTACTGCTGGATGTTTATCGATCTCGCTTGTGTGTCGGTGGTCGCAGCGACGTGCGCCATCTACGCTAAGCTCTACTGCTGCTACCGCGCGCACCAACGCGACTCGGCGATGCTAGCGCAGCGCAGCGGCCACCAGAACGAGGCGCGGCTATCGTGGCGCCTCCTTGTGTGCGCTGTCGTCTTCGCTGTGTGTTTCGCGCCGTTTATCTGCGTGCATCTGATATCGTTGTGTCAGTGGCGCTACGGCAGCGACACATACTTCTACGTAGAGGACGCCGTGTGGACGTCTAGCGTGGGCCTTACCGAGGTCTACCTGATGCTGGTGGCTCGCAGCACCGCCGTGTTCAACGCTCTTCTGTACGCCTGGTCGCTGCCGCAGCTCAGGCGCGCCCTTCACCAGATCTGCTGCTTTAACAGTTGTTGCCTGAAGCAGCGTAAACATGTCAACCGACAGCAACGCACAGAAAAAGGACTGTCATTGGTGTGACAGCTAGGGGCAGATGCGCGTGACTTAATTTTCCCACGATAATCTGACAATAGTTCCTCGAGTGTGTTATGTGCATCATGTATTTACCACAGAATGGAATTCGGTAGACTTATAGCGTGCGTACGCCCATTGCTACGATTGCAGGTCTGATATGTATATAATTTGAGACTTTTGCAAGATTTTTTCCAGATGACTGTATTTCATATACCCAAACTATATCACATTGCAGCTCTCTCTCTCTCAATGTTGTGAAATGTGATATAGTTCGGGTATAGGAAATACAGCCATCTGGAAAAAATCTCGCAAAAGTCTCAAATTAGATTGAGGTGGCGGTAGAGGCATATATGTGAGCTAGTACGTTTACCATCTTCACAGCTTCTAATGCAAATAAAGTTCATTTCAGCCAAACAGCATTATACCTGCGATAGATTCTACTATCAAAGGAGTGTAAAAAATGTAGGAAATATAGACAAATACCGCCTGAAATATCTTCAACATGACGAAAGTTATATCGGAAAATGATTTACATCCGCACGAAAATTAATCACTAGCATCCATTGAAGACACGCTGATGCTATTATAGAGTGCCAGGCGGTGACCTGCATTCTTAGCTAACCTACCGGACTATGTCTCCCGCCCCGCAGTTTTCGTCCACCACCTGTTATCGTTCACTCACTTTCGTTAGTGAAGCTCGTTAGAACTGGAATCCCATAAATGGCGAATATTTCAATGTATTGCTGCGCGATTGCTTTCCATTGGATTCTGAGAACGTATATTTCCACAACAAGTAGATACTTTAATGTATTTCAACTGGGGAAAGTACTTGCCCTATAAATCAGGTATGCAGTCAGAAAATGGCGAAGAGGAGTCCTGTATTTTGGCCACCCACCTGGATCCATCCTTGCAGTATGCAGTCGATTGTGTTTCGTCTATATAAGCTAAAATATGCGTAGCTCTTGGCAGTGTGAACTCCTCAACTTAACCTGGTATACAAACAGTGTGGTGTGTGTGTGTGTGTGTGTGTGTGTGTGTGTGTGTGTGTGTGTGTGTGTGTGT